CCACCCCCGCCCCACTCCCGCTCGCCCCCACCCCCAGCTCTTTCACATCTGGATACTTTGATCTCTTGCCAGCTTGGACTGAGTTTCTCCTGCTGGTGCCGAGCAAGCGCTCCTTGGGCCACAATTGCCTCCCTTCATTGGTTCCTCCAGGGGAACGCTGCTTGCAGGGTACCTGTTCCTTGCTTTGTTCCTTGCTTCCTGGCTCCCCTGGAGATTGTTACTTGAATTCCCCTCTTTGGACAATCCTTGTAAAAGCCCTCCATACAACGACTGATCAGAAACCCTAGTGTTCTGCCTCCCCCAACTTAGGCCTTGCCCAGTCCTACAGCAGACTTTGTGGACGTCAGCTTTCAAGAAGGCTGGGAAGGCGCCCGTTGACAGTGGGCAGCCTAAGAGGGAGGCATTATAAAATCAAAGGTCAACTGCAATCTACAGACAGGATATCAGGGTTTCTTTAAGAGAGGGACTTAGAAAGGTGATAAATCGAGAATCAAACAACTTTCCAGGAAAAAATTACAAGAGCTGAATTTTATTTTTTTCCAAACCAAATCAGAATTCATATTCACTGGTGGTGGAAGTGCTTAGAGATGCAGAGATAATAGAACACAACGATAGATGCTTGGATACCTATAACCCAGGAATCCCATGTCCAGGTGTATGTCCCAGGTATAGGTCTTCAAGGAACTCTTAGACCTGTGCTCAGGAGATATCGCCAACAAAATCCATAGCAGCATTGTTGGTATTAAGAAGAACCAGGAAACAGGGCCTCCCCGGTGCGCAGCGGTTGAGCGCTGGGTTGTGAAGCTGCCCGCAGCCTCTACAGCGCCGGTTCAATCCCCGGCTGCTCCCCGGCCACTGGAGGAGGGTCCCACACAGCGCGCAGGCCTCTCCTGCCGCCCGCTGCTCCCCTCAGCAGTGTACCTCGGTCCTTCTGCCTGTTCTGCTCCCCGCTCTGGCTCCGGTGAATTCTCTCACCCTCCCGCGCTTCTGACTGTACCCAGTGCTTGTATAAATAAATAAATAAATCTTTGGGAAAAAAAAAGAACCAGGAAACAATTCCAACAAACATTAACAAGAACAATGACATTCACGCAATGGAACACTATCAGTACTAAAAAATGAACCATCTACAGGTAGAGGGGTAAAGCTCTCAAACGGTTAGCTCACCAAAAAATTGTAGCTAAGGTTACAAACAGTATGATGCCATTTTTGTAAAGTGCAAAAATTTATTTTAAAACCATAAAGAAAAGCAAGGCAGTAATAAAGGCAAAATTTAGGATAGTAGTTTACTTTGGGGGCTAGAGAGAAAGACACAAGGGACCCTAGCACACTGTAGATGTCTGTAGGGTGAGGTAAAAAGCATCAGGCTTTTCTGCCCTCCCGCCATTAGGATAGATGATGGATCCTTGAGGTCCCGAACACATGCCTGATGGCGGGCACCTGGAGTGGGGTGTGGGCACAGGTAGATGGGATTCACCTGGGCTGAGACTGGGCTTTTAAGGGCGGCGTCACGGGGACGCCAGCGGAACAAAACAGGAAAACGAATGAGAGAACGGACGAACAGAAGAAGCAGAGAAGCAGAGAGGAGGCTGGAGAGCCCAGACAGAGTGAAGACTTGCTGAGGGCTGGGAGGCCTGCCAGCCTCCCGGCCCCCAGCACCCCGCCTGCCATGCGCCTGGTAAATCCCAATTAAAGCCTGAAAAGCCACTGAGGGCTCCGGGACTCTCTCCTCCTCCACCCCGTCTGCATAGAATCATAGAAAACCTGCCCTGTGCCCTTCCTGCCATTACAATATCCCATTTCTTAAGCTGGTGGTGGGATTACAAATGTTCATGTTACTGTAATAGGCTACAGTGTATGTAGTCTTTGGTAGATGTGAAATACTTTGTGAAAAACACACAAAAAAGGGTCCATTATGAAGTCTTCAGCTCTCATCTGATTTCATACCTCCTTGGATTGCTCATCCAACCCTGAAGTTTCCCACCTTCCAATAGAGAGAGGTATGCCAAGTTTTCAGCTGATCAGCAGTTTTCAACCAGGGGTACTGTAGGGTAAGTAAATATCAGGCTTTTCTGCCCTCCCACCATTAGGATAGATGATGGATCCTTGTGGTCCTGAACGCATGCCTGATGGCGGCACCTGGAGTAGGGTGTGGGCATGCGTAAGTGGAAACACCTGTGCTGAGAGACTGGGCTTATAAGGGCAGTGTCACGGGGACGCCAGTAGAACCATGAGAGAAGCAGAACCACAGGAGAGCAGAGAAGTAGAGAGAAGCAGAGAACACCGGAGAGCCCAGACAGAGTGAAGACTTGCTGGGGGCTGGGAGGCCTGCCAGCCTTCCAGCCCCCCAGCACCCCTGCCTGCTGTGTACCTGGTAAATCCCAATAAAAGCCTGCAAAAGCCACTGAGGGCTCCAGTACTCCTCCTTCACCCGTCTGCTGGAATCAGAGAGATCCTGCTCCGTGTCCTCCTGCCGTTACAGGTACACATACCAAGGATCGAATCAGTAATGGCGGGGTGGTGGAGAGGGGTTATAGGCTGCTGCAGAGTCACCTTTCCTCAATCCTGGTGTCTGCCTGCAAATATCTTACAAGCAGGCACGACCTGCTGTGCTTCCCAGTACGGTCTGATGAAGCATTGGACATTCATTTCCCCTTCCTGTCCAAGGTCAACCCTTGCCTCTGACCTGCGGCTGCAGCACAATTGCTCAACCAGCCTACCCTCAGTGCTACATAATAACTGTAACAAGGGCAGGGCCAGAAAACTCCCTTCTTCCCTTCTAGGTTATTTGGCTGGTCTAATCACTGCATTCACATGGAAAAACTGACAGGAGAAAAACAAATTTCATTTTTCCTGTCCGGGAAAGGTGAGACCCAAAGACAGCCAGGCAGTGGGGACTTATGTGCCCTCCTGAGCTAAAGAGAGAGAGGGTAGAAGTCTGGGACCTCAAAAGTGAGGAAGATGGGAAGGACAATCGTCCCCCAAGTTATGCAGAGGCCCCCTGGCTAACTTCTTCTAGGCAATTAAAGGAGAGGTAAAAGCGAGTCTTCCTGTGTCTATTACACATTGATTACCTTCAGCTCAAAATAATTCACCCGCCAAAGTGGGATATCTGGGGCTCATGTATTCTCCCCCTCAACAAGTACATATCCCGGCACTGGACAGCAAAGCAAATGTGACCCCCATGGTGAACAAATGAAGGCTCAGTAGCTGCTGGGACCGGGAGGGCATTTGGCAGCCTGTAAATTTTGGAAAAGATTTGAGGGCATCTCTGGTAATGATTAACATTGGAGCCACAATTTGAGGTTGAAGGGCTGGCTCAGAAGCTGTGCTGTGGCTTCCAAAAATCTCACAACAGCAGCTGCCTGGGATGGTGTTCTGCATTTGATTTCCTACAAGAGTCCCAGGTTCTGGCCAGAGAGCAGTTATAAGAGCCCAGTCTTCCTATCTTTATCTATGTAACCCTTTTAATGTAAAATGAGAGATTGTTTTGGAGCCCTGTCAAGGGCCACGCCTTAGAACTGCTCTGAAATATAAGCGCTCCCAGGGTCTGATTTCCAGGGAGTTCTCAAGCTCTGGGGAGATGCTGGCTGTTGATTCAGTTGCTGAGTCATGGAGCCGGGATCTTGGTATTAGGCAGCCAGGACCGTCAGTGTGTTGCTGGTGAAATCACAAGCTCTGCTTGCAAAATTCATATAACGTTTAAGTATAACATTTTACAATTTCCTTGGGTTTTTTGGCTGAATTTAGTCCCAAAGTTATTGCTTCTTAATCCATGGGGAGCAAAACCATAAACACAATAGACCTTAATCTTTACCCAAAACCTTGGAAACCTAATAGTAGGAGCTAAGGAAGAAAAGCAGTATCTGCAGCAGGGACGAGAAGAAAATAATAAACACAAATACAGATATGAATCTCTGCCCCGCAGTGTGGATGTTCGCCATTGTTTGCGCTCTGACCTACATGTCAAGAGGAAGGCAGGCTGCCCGCAGCCTCTGCAGCGCCGGTTGGTTCCCCGGCCGCCGGCGAGGGGCCCACAAAATAAAAAAAAGGAATGCAGAGAAAACAAAATTCTAACAAAAGCCCTCAGTCCTCCCTTGGAGTGGGGTGTGGGTTCTGCAGCGCCCATTTTCACGGCCCCCACCCTTTGCTGTTTTCCTTTTGCCAGACTAATGCAGAGTGTTAGATTTGGGGTTCTGAGGCTCCCCCGGGGTGCACGTGATATTCCAATCCCAAATGGCGGCCGGTGTGGTTCGCAGGAATCCGGGCGGATCCGCTGTTCCCGGCGGGGCAGGGGGGCCGGGCGGCCCCTCCCCGGGGACCCGCAGTGAGTGAAGCCGGGCGCGGGGGCGCCCCGGCACTGGGGGCGCCCCCGGCCCTCGCTGCAGGTGGAGGACCAGGCGCTGCCTTTGTCGCCCGGGCCGGCTCCCAAGGGCGAACGGGCCTTGGGGTCACCCTGGGGCGGCGCGGGGCGCGGCCGGACGCTCGAGGCCCGGCACGCGGCCCGCCGCCCTCGGCCCGGAGAGCCGGGCGGGCGCGCGGCCGCCAACGTCCGCCGGGGTCGCGGGCGGCGCGGGGGGCGCGGGGGCGGGCCGCGAAGGTCGTCCCCAAGGTCGGGCCGGACGTGGCGCCGGCGACGCCGCGTGCGTGCGGGACACGGAGTACGTGACGGCGCCCCGAGCGCTCATGCCGGCCGCGCCGCCCCGCCCCTCTCTGGGGGCGCCGCTGTCCTGGCGCCCCCTCGCCGCGGGCCCAACGCGGGGCGGGCCGCCGGGTCGCGGGGGGGCCGCACCCCTCACAGTCGCGGGGAAGCCGGGGCCCCCATCCCCGCGCGGCGCCCCCCAGGCCCTCGCCCCGCCCGCCTGGCGCCGGCGGCCTGGGCCCCGCCCCCGCCGGAGGGGCTGAGTGACGGCGCGCCGGGCCAATGGCCGGGCGAGGCGGCGCGGCGGGGGCGGGCCCCGGGCGGGCCGGCGGCGGGGCCTCCCGGGCCGGGCAGGAAGTCGGGGCACTCGGCGCTCCCCGTCTCTCCGCTCGGCGCTCGCCCGCGGTGTCCGCTGCCCCCGCTGCTTCTCTCCCGGGCGACGACCTCCGGCGGCCACGTAAGCTCGGGAAGCGCTGCCGAGCGAGCGCCCTGGCAGGCCCGCGGGGGGCCCGCGCCGGGGCTGTTGCACCTCTGGGAAGGCGGGGTGCGGGGGAGGTTCGGGGGTCCGGGCCCCGCCGGCTCGTCCCAGCCGGGCTCCCAGAACCAAACGCCCGCGGCCCGCGGCGGGGGCCGGTGCCGGCCGCCAGGTGACCCGCGGCGGGGCCGCCTAACTGTCCTGGGGGGCTCGCGGGCCGCCGCGCGGCGGGCGCGGACGTGGGGGTCCCGGGGAGCGCTGCCAGCCCCCCGCTGCTCCGCCGGCCGGGCCCTCACTAAAATGGAGGAAGGGGCGGGGAAAGGAAGGCGGTCCAGAGGCCGCCCCGGCCTCCCGCTCGTGGCCCTCGGCCTGCGGCTCCGGGGGTCCGCCCGTGGCCGCCCTGGAATAAGGGGTGACTGATCTGACCTCGGGGGGTGACTGATCTGACCTCGGAAGATGCCTGTTCTGGAAGCTGCCCTGCAGGCGGCCTCGCCCAGGGCCGGAGCGCACAGGAAAAGGATGCCTTTTAGGAAAGCTGCTTGTTGGCTGCTCCCCCCGCGGGTGGTTTAGGGGTGACCCACCTCCCGGCGCACCTAGGCCCCTGCCGCGAGGTCCACTCTGCTGCCCTGCTGCGGGCTCGGGCTGTGAGCTCCTGCACCAGCCTGACCCCCGTCCCTGCCCCGCGAACCGTAATGACTCGGGACGGCCAGTTTGCCGAAACTAAACATTTTTGCACCAAAAGTCTGTTTAAGCAGATTTGACTATTTGCAAATGATAGGTAAGAACTAGAGGCCCTTTCAATGGCCAGTGCCTCAAACTCCATTGTTACATAGACAAGGAAGCCACAGGAGTGACCTCGGTATCTAATTTTGGAACTTATAAAAGAATATGATGCCACTTGCTGCTTCAGAACATTCCAGAGAAGATTTTTGGAGGGGAGCCCGACTAGAGGGTGGCTTCTGACCACTAAGTCAGTTCTCTCCTCCACTTCGGGTCCCCAAGTTGTTCAAGTGGTGTTTTCCTTGGGAGTCCTGCCTCCCCCTATCCTCCCAAAGCGAGGGGCTTGCCCTGAGGATTTGCTCTTTGAAGCTGCGGCTCTTTTTCTCTTTTTAATTTTTTTTTTTTTTAATTGAAGTAACAGTCAGATCCCCCACCAGGTGTTTTTGCTTTGGGGTTTTTTTAAAAAGGTGTTTTCGGGCCTCCCTGGCGGCACAGGCGGTGGATCGCTGCTCTATGAAGCTGTCCGCAGCCTCTGCAGCACGTGTTCGATCCTGGCCTGCGAGAATCCCACATGGCGCAGCAGATCTTTCCTGTGTCGCCCCCTGTACCCCGGTTCTTGTATAAATAAATCTTTAAAAAGGTGTTTTCAAAGGACACTTTTCCCCTGGAGTAGCTGGCTTTCAAAGATAGAATCTCCTCTACCAATCACGACATTTCATATTTTTTTTAAATGGGGTAAAATGCCCTTTGAAAGACGTGAGTTAAATGTCATTGATAAGACCCCCAAGTACGGTGGGGTCTGAAGACCTGAAGTGGCGGACATAGAACCTGGGTCACTCCTGGCCTCCCAGCTCAACCCTGCTGACCACAAGCCTGAGCCTGTGTCCTGTGTCTGGGCGGAACCCCCCTCCCCCACTGCCACCTCAGCTTAACTTGATGAGTGAGGTGTTAAACCTGTAGCTCCTTCTTCCACTGCAAACCACGTTCTCCTCCAGATCTCCCAAATACCAATCCCCCTGTTTTTAGGTGGTTCTGCCTATGACCTTCATGTCCTCTTGCTGCCCTCCCTGGGCATCCCTTGTTACCCAGTGAGGTGGACGGTTGCAGGCCCCACCTCCCGGCCATCCTGCCGGGCTCCATTTCTTCCATGTGGGGCTTTCTTGTCTCTTGAGGCTGTGCAGACCTGGACTCAAGCAGCTTTAGGGAGCAGCTCCTACAACTTTCTACCCCCCAAGTGACTGGTCTAGGCCTGCATTCTCTTGTGTGGTGAACACGAATTGCTTTTCCCCACAGCCAGCCACCATGTCTATCCTCAAGATCCACGCCAGAGAGATCTTTGACTCTCGTGGGAACCCCACCGTGGAGGTTGACCTCAGCACGGCAAAAGGTATGTGTCCTGTGTTCCTCTAGTTCCAACCACTACTCCCCCCTCCCCCCATTTTTTTAACTGTCTCAATGATCTTAGATGAGAAGTCGGGCTTACGAAATTCTTTCAGAGCTGCATGAGCTGATGGACTGCTCTCCTGATGGGGTGGGGCTAAGGCCTGGTGTCCTTGGGGTGCTGCTGCATGGTGTTTAAAGCAACAGTTGGCTCCTAGGTCAGTGAGACAGGCAGGGAAGTAAGGTGACACACCTTGTTCCTGAAAGGACCAGCTGTCCTTTGTCTGGCAGATTAGCAGGTGTGGTGGGATGGAGCTTGGTCCCCTGGGAGAGCGAGAGATTAGGGGAGTACACTGTAAATACGATAACCTTTCTGCTTCTGGAAGTCACATTCTACGAGGAAAGGGGCTAGTTTCTACATCTGGGTGGGTGTTGGGAAATTCCAGAGGCTCCTGTCCCTCTCCCCCTTCCCTACCAGGAGTTTGCTCTTATAAAAACAGAACAGAGTGGGGGCTCTTAAAACTGCTCTCCTTTTAAGAAAAACCCACTGTCTCCCTAACTCTGTTGCCTCCAGCTCCTTGGCTATTTTCTAAATGGGCCTGGGTGAGGCTGAGGAAGGCAGAATCCACCCAGTGTGCGGGAGACTTGCCTGGCAGAGCTGAGTCATGGCTCTGAATCACAGGCCTGGCCGGGCCCCACCCTCCCCCAAAAGAAGACTCCTTGACTGTGGACTTCATTCATTGGGCATAAATGGGCAAAAGTTGACCTGTCTGCTGGTGGTTACTGCTGAGTACACACTTAGTGGGGAGCACCTGGGGTCACAGGGGAAGCCTGGCAGCCTTGCTGCTTTCTGTTTGCAAATTAACAGACTTTGAAAAACCCAAAAAGGCCATAGACACGGAAGATGGTTGGGAGTGGGCTATTGTCTGAAACACTTGAAAATGACTAGAATTAATATTTTTTGAAATTTTAATGAGTGGAACTTTCAAGTGTCTCAGTCTTTTTCACAAAACGTGAAATTGATTTGTTAAGAGCTTTCATCACTCCTTTCATAGAATTTCTTTTTAAAGAGTAGTTTAAAGAGTAGTTTAAAGTTCACAGCAAAATGGAAAGGAACCCACAGACTCCTGTCCCAATCAGGCACAGCCTCCCCCACTGCCTACACCCCCGCCAGAGTCGAACCTGCTTCGGCACACGACCGCCCCAAATCTGAGGTTTACTCCCAGGTACTCTTAGTTTGTTTCGCCAGGTCTGGGGCCTGTTCAGGAGGAAAGTGTGCCCTGCCGTGTGGCTGAGCGCTACAGCCCTGCTCCAAGGACTTCTGATTACAGTGCCTGCTGGGGCTGCTCTTAGTGCATTTGCCTGCCTAGCCACACACGTCGCAGGGGGATATCCCTTCCTGTTCCCCTAAACCTGTCTACCCCATGTAACCAGATTGCTGCAGTGTCTTTCTGGACTCTGTCCTCCACGATTGGCCTTATAGAGACAAACCAGTAAGCAGTGAAGCTTCAGCCAGAGAATTGGTTTCTGTCTCTGTAAGACTGAACGCTTCTCTGTTTAACTGTGTCCTGGTGTTATTAAAGCCTGGATCTTCATTTTCTTTTTTCCCTTTAGTGGGTCCCATTTTCCGGTTATTATGCAGTGAAAAGGCCCAAAATACTCTCGATAAATTAATGAGTGAGCTGTTGCTCTTTCTTTTGAGCCAGCAGAACACTGAAGACCCGAAAGCCAGCAGCCCGCTCTCAGCTGTCCAGGGTGACTTGGGGGAGGGAGCTGGGCTGTCTGAAACAGCGTGTGAGGTAGAAATGCTGATGCCTTGGGTATGTTGGATTAAATAAGATACTGTTAATTTTTCATTTTTAATGCTGCGTTTCCTGGAAGCTACTGGAAAAAAATCCCATAAGCAGCAGCTTGTGTTTCTGACGGGTGGTGCTGCTGGGGGTGGCCCACATACCAACTGCAGCCACTCGGGAGCTTGTTAGAGGGCAGACTGCGCGGTAACGAGTTCCCAGGTGACCTGTGCACATCTTTAAACTAGAGAAACACATCGACGTGGCTACAGGAGAAGCATCTGCCCAGCAGAGTCTTGAGAATGTGAAAGGCAGGCAGAACAGGCCTGGTCTCCCAGCTGGGAGGCCGCAGCAGCATCCTCAGTGCTGCCGTCTGTGAGCCTGGCAGGGAGGAAGCTGGGCTTGGTTCCCATTCTGTTCCTTAATGGTTCCGTTGTTCCCCCCTCAATGTCCAGGTCTCTTCAGAGCTGCTGTGCCCAGCGGCGCCTCCACTGGCATCTATGAGGCCCTTGAACTCCGTGACAACGACAAGACACGCTACCTGGGGAAAGGTAAGGGTGGGGCGCGGCCTGCCACTCACTGGCCTCCACTCCCGTGCGCCCCGGGGTGCTGATGGCAAGCCGCAATCTGCCCCTGGAGGAGTTGAGTCCAGGGTCTCCACACTGGTAAACTTGGACCAGAGTTTTACTGTTACCCTGTCGCAGTCTGTCCAAAACCTCTGGCTAAGCCAGGGGCCTTACAGCCAAAAGACACATTCACAGATACTGAAGCAAGTCTTGCCACCCTCCAGAGGGCTCTGGAGGCCTGGCTGCTGGCTCACTTTGGTGGTGACCTGCAGGCCAGTCCTTGCAGCTTGACCTTGGCGTTTTTGTCGATCACAGAAGCGCCCCTGAGGCCAAGCTGGCAGAGAGACCTGTTTCCGTTGGTGCTGGGTGCCCCTCCGTAGGTGGAGGCTGACATCAGTTCCTAAAAGCTTGCTATATTTTGTCCCAAAGGGCCATGGGGCACAAACAGATGTCCAGTATTTCTGTGGTTTTGAGGGGGGAGGAAGTGGGGATTAGGTAAAAGGTGTGAAAAGGCTGCAGGGGAGGAGGTGAAGGTGAAGGCTGGAAACAAAGGACAGCTGCACCGGTCATGCTGAAGTGGGCATGTGTCCAGTCCCGCTGGAGAGCTGCCCACAGCCCCTGAGCCCGGGCACTCGGCCTGCTGGGGCGAGGGGGATCCGGTGCTCCCTGCCTGTTTCCCCTCCCACACCTCCCTTTCTGTCAGCATCCTCTGGTCTGTTCTCTCCTGAGTGTATCTTCCTTCTCTGTTAACCTGCTGGTCAGGTGTCTCCAGGCCCGTTAAGTATATTAATGAGTTCCTGGCACCTGCCTTGTGCACACAGGTAACGTGTCACGTGCTGTGGTTTCTGCAGCTGCTGTGCCAGTGCATGGTCTTGCCAACTAACTTCCCTCGGATGTTCTAAGATGGTTGCTCTGTGTGGTTCTAACCCGGGGGTCCTGGGTCAGAGCGCTCAGACTGGGCCAGATGCCCTCCAATTAGGGGTGAGAGGGAGAAGGGGCCGTAAAGGGGGTGCACTGCCAGTTCAGGCCTCTGAGGCCTGGACTTGGTCTCCAGTGGCTCCTCTGGCCTTGCGGCTCGGGCCCTTGGCTGTGCACATCAGTAATCGGTAATTGTTCCTTCTAGGTGTCTCAAAGGCTGTTGAGCACATCAATAAAACTATTGCGCCTGCCCTGATTAGCAAGGTAGGACCTGCCTCCCGATCGCTAATGTACATTCGTGCCGTCCTGGTGCCTCCCGGCCGGGGCTGTCCTGCTGGGAAGAGCTCACTCTGAGAGCTAAGCTGCGTGGACTCCCAGTCCTGCGTGAGCGTGATCATCTTTTCTAACCGCCCTGCCTGCCTGCCTGTCTGCATGTCACTGCACGTGCAGTACGGCCGGGGTGGAAGGTCATCTCAGCCTCGGCTGTCCCCTCCAATTACCTTGACCTTCAGGGAACGAAGCAGCCACACTCTGTTCCGTAAAATCTTCCTTGGAGCCTCACGAGGTCAAACAGATGAAAGTGATGCTGATTTTTGTCTCGCTTCCTCCCCTGGTCCCCACCCTACATAACTGAGGCCTTGGGGACCCTTTGGAGCATGAGAATGATTGTCCAGAGACCTTTCTTAAGGCCAGAGCCCCTCACCTGTCCTCGGCTGCTGTCCTCACCCCACTTGTCCTGTCCGTGTCAGCCAGCGGCGGCATGTGGAGCCTGTCGTCTCTGTCCACAGTTGCTGCTGCAGCCTGGCTTTGTGCAGTCTGTGGTGCTCCATGCCTCATGGGTCCCCGGCAAAGCGTCTCGCTGCTCTGCCGGCACCCGCCTCCCCTCGGGTCTCCTGGGCCCTCCGTACACGCTGGTGCCCATGCCCGCTGTGGCCAGTGCAATGAGTGAGGCCTCCTGTGGCATTTTTTTAAATCTCTTGGGGAAAACATCCTTCAACCTAACTTGTGACGTGTTCCCCTGAAGCCGTCTGCATGCGTGGCTGCTAAATTTTTCCAAAGATGCACACAGCCTTCATTTCATTCTTTCGTTTTCATTTAAATAATATGTGTGTCTACATGGGTAATAACTGCTGCGGGCCTATCAGGGAGTCGCACGGTAACACGAACTTGTGTTCATCACTTTGAGCCTGTTTTCAAGACACCAGCTTTATTTATAATCCCACCCCACATGCTCACTGATTGCTCAGTGAAAATTCTGCTCATGTTGGGCTGCGCAGCCACCGTCTCCTGTCCCGTGGTGCATGCTGGCACTGAGGGCGGGCGAGGGGAGCCTGCCTCAGCTGTGGAGCTGCGCCTGCTGGCGCCAGTGCACAGCTGTTCCTGCCCCAAGCAGGCTGCTGTGGTCTCAGGCCTTACTTAGCCTGTCCCGGGCAGCTCTCTTCTGTCCAGTGGAGCTCAGACGCGGACACGTCCTGTGGGCTCCTTCACACTTGGAGAAAGGCCTGGGGCTGTGAGAATCAGGGCAGTCTCTGGCTTGCCACCTTGGCCCCCTTTTTAAATTCATTTTATTTTTATTTACTTATTTCTGCCTGCAAAACAAGTGTATGATTCAAAACAGACTTAGACTTTGCACAGTCCTCAGCTTTATGGGTCCTGGGGTGGGTGCAAAGGACCTGCCCACTTGCCTCCCCTTAGAGTGTGTCTTCCTTCCCTCCCCCGCCTAGAAGCTGAACGTTGTGGAGCAGGAGAAGATCGACAAGCTGATGATCGAGATGGATGGGACAGAAAACAAGTGTGAGTAGCCGAGGTGGGGCCTTGCGGGGAGCACTGTGGTGGGGCCACCCAAGCCCTCTGGGTGATTCGAGGAGAGGACGTGTGACCCCAGGGGTGGCCCGTGACCCCCTGTGGGCTCTTCTTGAACCCTCGCCTCGCCCCAGTCACACCTGTTAATGTCAGGAGCCCCTCCAGGTGACAGTGTTCTCTCTTCAGAGTAGGATTGTTTTCTGTGGTGAATCAAGCGTTTTTATGGGATTTGCCCAGCCCTCGTAGACCAGAGAAGGGGCTTGCTTTTGGGGGGAAGGACAGAAGCATCCACGTGGTGTGTCTGCATGTCGAGCTTGAATGCGGAAGGTAGATAGGTTGAGACAAAACTCTCCAGAGCACAGCCCCCGGTGTGGCTTTATGGGCAGGACGGCCTGCGGAAGGAAGGTTGGTGGGTAAGAAACACATTCAACTCTGGTCCGGTCTTGTCTGGTCTGGTTTAGCTAAATTTGGTGCCAACGCCATTCTGGGAGTGTCCCTGGCTGTCTGCAAGGCTGGCGCTGTGGAGAAGGGGGTGCCCCTATACCGCCACATCGCGGACTTGGCTGGCAACTCCGAAGTCATCCTGCCCGTTCCGGTGAGTGCCGTCTGCGGCTCCGGGTGAGAAGTGGGGGATGTTAGCTGTCTCGTGGGAGCAGGGCGGGTCCGAGCCAGCGCTGGGGGTCTCTCGTGCAGGTCACCCACCTCCCCGTGTCTACGTCCTGCGCTTGTGCTCAGGAGGTGGAAGTCACACTTACCTGGTTCACCCAGATAGCGCAGCGCTGAGGATACCGGGCGGGACTGGGTAGCGCACAGCCACGCGGCCCCTCTGTGAGCGGGCCTGGGTGGGCATGAACTTCACCGTCTCTCCTCAGGCCTTCAACGTCATCAACGGCGGCTCTCACGCCGGCAACAAGCTGGCCATGCAGGAGTTCATGATCCTCCCCGTGGGGGCCACAAACTTCAAGGAAGCCATGCGCATCGGAGCAGAAGTTTACCACAACCTGAAGAACGTCATCAAGGAGAAATACGGGAAAGATGCCACCAACGTGGGGGATGAAGGTGGCTTCGCGCCCAACATCCTGGAGAATAAAGAAGGTAAAGCCCCCAGAGGTAGCCCCAAGCAGCTGCCCACCCCCCGCTTCCCGGTGCATCTGCCACTTGGGGGACTCCAGTCTTTCCACCACTTTGTCCGTCAGCATCAGTGTGCAGGCGCCGTGCCCAGCAGGGGCGGGCCCCCCAGTTTCCCTTATCCCTCAACTGCTGAGTGAGTGGCCTGTGGGGAGGCACCCAGCAAGGGGAGGGAGAGGCTCAATGTCGCCTTTTGTTGAGACCACCCGGACCGCGTCAGTAGTTCAGCCGCGTGACGTCCGCATGCACAGCTGTGTTTGTGAGGGCCAGGTACAGGGTGCAGCCGTGGGGTGCGAGGACAGCAAAGCGTCGTATTTGAGAGGGAGAAGCAGGGCATGCACCCCCCGGCAGCCGGTGAGGGAAGCCATCCGTCCTGTGCTTCGGGTCGACCAGTTGCTGCTATGGCGCCTTCCACGGCTGAACTGCGGGTTTTGGGGTCTTTGGTACGAAACAGGCACTAAAGGTCTTGGTTTCCTCTGGGCCGCACTGCCCTGAGCCTACTGCTGGGGCTCCCCTTCCCTGGCCCAGCCTCTGCTCTTGGAAGCTGATCGCAGCCGGCAGCCCGCGCTTGGCCAGCGCAGCTGCTCCTGAAAGCCTTTTCCTGGATCAAGAAGGAGCTCCTGCTGGGGGCTGTGAGGGTGATGGGTGGTTTCCTGCTCCACAGGGAGCAAGTAGCTAGAATCATCGGCGCTGACAGTGGGGCCAGAGCGCCTCTTGGCCTTAAGGCCCTGGGGCCCGTTTGCAGCTGACAGGGCGGCGGGTCTCTTCCAGCTCTGGAGCTGCTGAAGAACGCCATCGGCAAGGCCGGTTACACCGACAAGGTGGTCATTGGCATGGACGTGGCCGCCTCCGAGTTCTTCCGCTCGGGCAAGTACGACCTGGACTTCAAGTCACCTGACGACCCCAGCAGGTATATCTCACCTGACGAGCTGGGCAACCTGTACAAGTCCTTCATCAAGGACTACCCAGGTGAGTGCTCCAGGGCAAAGCACGCATGAGGGTGGGGGCGCACGGAGGTGCTTTGGTGCCAGCCGGGGGTGCCCTGCGTGGTGAGTGGTTCGGGTGTGGTCAGCCCTGTCCCCGTCCCGGCCCCCAGTGGAAGTGCAGTCTCAGCTCGCCCCGGTGAGCTGGCGCTCCCCTGGGCTCCGCACCACAGAACTCGCATGGGGGAGGGGATGGAGGCACAGAGAGGGCTAATAACCTTGCCCAAGGGCACTCAGCTAGTGGTGGTGCAAGAATTCAGGCCAGGAAGTCAGACTCCGGAGTCCTTGTCTTTCACCCCAAGTTGGTAACTGCTCAGGGTGGGGTCCTCATCCTCTGAGCCCTCAGCTCCATCCTGCTCCAGGGCGCTCAGCTTGGACCACCGTTGCGGTGCCAGGCCTGCAGGGGGTGGGCCTGCAGGTGATGGGCCTGTGGCGGGAGCCAATCGGTTGCACAGGGAAGGAGGCCCTGGGCTGAGACCCGCTCTCCTTTCCTCAGTGGTGTCCATCGAGGACCCCTTCGACCAGGACGACTGGGACGCCTGGCAGAAGTTCACAGCCACCTCGGGCATCCAGGTGGTGGGCGATGACCTCACGGTGACCAACCCAAAGCGCATCTCCAAGGCTGTGGGCGAGAAGTCCTGCAACTGCCTCCTGCTCAAAGTGAACCAGATCGGCTCCGTGACCGAGTCCCTGCAGGCGTAAGTGGGGCGACCGGGGCAGCCTGCCTGGGACGGGGTTGCTCTGGGACTGGCGGTTTCAAATTTGGCACCAAGGGACAGGCCCTAATCCCACTTCATCCCAGTTTCCCCTGGGAAACCCCTCCCTCGGGGATGGCTCGAGGCTGTGCCAGTCCTGGGGCTGTGGGTTCGGACGTGGGCTGGGCTTTCGTCTTCCCGGGAACTCGGACCCCGGCGGGCTCCCGAGTCACAGGCCGGGCCGTGAGTGGGTCGTGTCCTGGCTCCCAGGTGCAAGCTGGCGCAGTCCAACGGCTGGGGGGTCATGGTGTCTCACCGCTCCGGGGAGACTGAGGACACCTTCATCGCCGACCTGGTGGTGGGGCTCTGCACTGGGCAGGTAAGAGGTCCCTAGAATGAAAACGCCTAGTTCTTTCCAAACTCAGGGGGGAGGGTGCAGCGTGCCCCTTTAATCTCCTTTCTGGGGTCAGAAATCATTATCTCTGCCCTGCTCCCTTGTCCGAAATGCCCCAAAGATTCATGTGCATTGCAAGCAAACGTGCCCTCTCTTTCCTCCTCTCAGATCAAAACAGGTGCCCCGTGCCGGTCGGAGCGCCTGGCCAAGTACAACCAGATCCTCAGGTAGAGGGGACACCTGCGGGGGTGGGGGGAGTGGCTGTGCATTTGGGGCTCATTTGGCAGAGCCCGTCCCTAAGTGCTGTCTGCCGTGGAGAGGGCGGGTCAGCACTAGGAGAGAGCCGGGTGTCTCCAGACACTGTCACTCTTGCTTCCTGGCTGAGGAAGAGCAGGGCTCTGAGAGATGAGAGGGCTGCGGAAGGGCAGGCGCTTGCACGGTGTAGCCTGCCTTGTGTCCTCAGGAGGTGCCGGGACTATCTTGGCTTTTTGTTAGTATTTCCAGTCTGGAATGGAAAAGAACCATCCATTTGTTAAGGCTCCCGCCACACACACACACATATAAGCCTTTTTTTTTTTTTTTAAGATTTATTTTTTTATGCATACAAGAACTGGGGTACAAGCCAGAGGTGTAGGGGGTGAGAGGATTCACCAGAGACAGTGGGGACCAGAACAGGCAGACTAACTGAAACACACTGCTGAGGGGAGCAGCGGGGAGACAGGAGAGGTCTGCTGCGCCATGTGGGTAGCTCCCTGGCCAGCCTGGGGATCGAACTCATGCTGCAGAGGCTCCAGATAGCTTCATAGGTTGCATCTTAACCCCTGCGCCACCAGGGAGCCCCAAGAATTTTATTTTTTAAAAAAAGATTATTTTGTGTAGAAAACTGTGGCACAAGCCAGAGGTTATAGGGCAGGTAAGAGGATTCACCAGAGACAGAGCAGGGAGCAGAACAGGCAGACTGACTGAAATCCACTGCTGAGGAGAGCAGCAGGGAGACAGGAGAGGTTTGCTGGGCCAAGTGGGCAGCTCCCCAGCCGGGCATCAAACCCATGCTGCAGTGGCTGTGGACAGCTTTGTTGGCTGCTTCTCAACCCCTAGCGCCACCGGGGAGGCCCCTCTCTTATTTTTAAACATAGCTACTCTGCTGTGGCGGTGCCCCGAGTGAGTTGTAATCCCATGTTGTAAACTCCATGTCTGCTCGTGTATTGTCTCCCCTGGTGGTGTTGGCGCACTGTTCTGTTTTGTTCTGTGTTGTTCTGTTTTTTGGCATCAGGATCCAGAGTTCGCACTGCTGGGTTCCCCTCCCTCTTTTCCTCTGTCATCTGTCATCGGGGGAGGGAGGATGCGTGTCCAGCCGGGTCTCTGGTGGAAGAGCCTGCTGCAGTAAGACTTGACCTCATCTTTTGTCCCCTCTCTCTTTCTGTTTGCCTAGAATTGAAGAGGAGCTGGGCAGCAAGGCCAAGTTTGCCGGCAGGAACTTCAGAAACCCCCTGGCCAAGTAAGCCCCTGGCCTTGAGCGGAGCCCTCCGGGCACTAGCAGCTGCTTCGACCTTTGCTCCTGCTGCCGCCTAGTCCTGGCGGGGCCTCTAACTGCCCCCGCCTCTCCCACCCCTGTGACGTTCTCATTGCTTCCTTAGAGCTGCTGCCCGGGCCCAGCTTGACCGTGGTAACCCTGTTGGCGCCCAGCTCGTAATCATGTGATTGGCCCAAACCCCTGTTCTCCCACCAAGTGTTTGACGGGGCCATGAGCTTCCACGTTGAAATCTGAGATGTCCCCAGGCGAGATCCCTGGTGGTTTTGTGCATAATAAAAGATCTCAGTGACCCATAGGAAGACTGCGCGTGTGTGTGTGGACGAGTCGAGGGTCTCTGCTCCCCTCGGTGCGCCCGGGTGTCCCGAGGACTGCAGAAGTCGGGCGTCCTTGGTGGCAGGAGAAGGGCGAGCCACTGGGGCTGGTGACTTCAGGGTCGGGCGTCTTACTTGGGAGGAAGCACAGACTCCGAGCTAGCGCGATGTCTCGGGCCCTGGCATACTGGCCACTTGTCCAGGCCAGGGGGCACCACAGAGTAGCGGGGTGCAGGTCCTGCAGGGAACAGGTGAAAGGGGCATCTCGCGGGGCTGTTTAGGTTAACTTAGCTCCCTTACTCACCTTCACTCAAACACTGAGAAGCCACAGGTGGCGGCGCTGCACCAGGCAGTGCATGTAGGAGTCACGGGCTCGCGTGTGAGACAGTGTCTGTTTTACAGGTAAGGACCCTGCCGCCCCTTGAAATCTGGTGGTAGTGTCTCCCCTGCAATTTCATGTTTCAGAAACCAGCGGGGTCCCCCCGGTGGACACTTGGGGAAATGCAGGTGTTGGCTTCTGTGGTTGGGGCTGGGCTTACCCAGGTCCGGGGCGCATGGGGCGGTGTCGGGGTGATGAGGAGGACCAGCTGCTCGGTCACTCGCTGCTTCACAGGTGGGGTTGCAGGGAGCTTCGAGCCCTGCTTTTAAGACCTCCCAACCGGTCAGTCAGGCCCACCCAGGTCATCCCAGAGGATTATTTGAGCTCACTGATGGGGGTTATAAGTATGTCTGCAAACTGGCTTCACGGTGATGCCCACATTACAATATGAACAACAGCACTTCAGTCTCAGAGACACGTCAGCACTGCACGTGCCTTAACCCTTCTTCACCTCGTCGTCCTAACACAGCCCCTCTCCCTGCTGGGCCGTAACGACTGGTTTCCCGGGAAATGGATCCTGGAGGGAAACCTGACAGCCTGACTGGGCGTGTATTTATCCCAAATTTAAAGTTAGCTCTCCCGTTCCCAGTTTGGTTTAGTGTCAGCGTCGTGACTGGCAGAGAACAGCATTTATCACTCGGGTTAAAGCACAAGTGCAGGTGGGAGCCCCTGTGTATGGGCCCCCGGGGACGGCGGCCAAGGGCCCAGCGCCTGCTCTGGCACGTGCCCCGGGCCATCCCTGTCTGCAGCAGGACAGGCCGGGAGACGTGTTGACAGATCTGTGGTGGGATCTGAGACCACAGTGGAACTCTTGTCTCTGGGCTGCAGGTGACACAAGCTTCAGGTATTTAAACATCTGGGAGCACGTGTTCACTGTCTCTGGACTTGGGTTTTCGCTCGAAAAATTTCAACCTCTATTACAAATGCTTCTCCACAGAACTTGTATTGTTCATCTGTGGTTCTCTTCCAACCCCCAAGTTCCTGGATGTCTGACTTTAGAACAAAAATCAGTGGAAAATTTGAAGTAGCGTGGTTCTCAAATTTGGCTATACATGAGAATGGCCTTGCCCAGACCAAGTGGACTCGAGGAAGCCGTGGGGAGCAGCCAGGCCTGTGAACTTCCTCATGAATGCAGCTCGGGCTGGGGATGGCCACCGAGGGCTGTCACGCGGCCCACAGGGCTGTGCCATGGGGCAGGAAAGCCGAGCCAGGCCCCTTCTGTCCAGGCTGGGCCTGCGGGTGGAGCCGAGTCCGGCTCCCCAAGCAGCCGCAAGGGCAGGCAGGGCAGTGGCTGAGGGTGCAGGTGGGATTACACTACTCTGCCCGTGCCAACAGGGCCGCAGTCTCCGTCTGCAAAGAGGGGCTAATCAGACCACAGTGCTCGGGCTTCTACTCCAAACCGAATGAATCAACAACCAGGTGCTGATGCCCTCACCTAACAGGTGCAGGGGCGGGGAAGGTCTCCAGAGCACACCAAGCCCTTGCGGTTGCCATTCAGCAGACGAGGGGGAGATTGGGCGTGGACTGCTCACAGCAGCTCTGGGAGAGGTGAGGCGTTCCCTGGGCCAGGCTGAGGTTCACCAGTGTTATGGAGAATAATTCACCATCAGTAACAGGTACCTTCTAAGAGTACGATTCGATGTGTTTTACAAATTCCCCTGGGCAGCCGGTACTGCTGTCATGACTAAAACATTTCCAGCCCCCCAGCCCCACCCCACTCTTGGCCCCAGGCAGCCTACAGTGGTTTTTTAAAGGTTCTAATTGTCAAAATCTTAAAAAACAGATTGCATATAGAAGTTCAAATTTCTGGGTTTCCCTTGGTGGCGTAGGCAGTTGAGCACATCCCTGCGAAGCTGTCCGTAGCCTCTGCAGCGCAGCTTTGATCCTGGCCAGCCGGGGAGATACCCACATGTCACGGCAGACCTCACCTGTCTTGCCCGCTGCTGGTTGTGTCTTCCCAATTCTCTCCTTTTCTAGAAAGATTATCTGTCCCCAAGTTTCCATGAGCTCAGGTCCTCTGGGCCTCTCTGCTGTTGACAACTGATATCCCCAGGTCTTAAGGCAGCAAGGACTCTCCCAATCCTCTACATCCAGAAACAGGGTGGCGGGCACCTCCTGCCCGCGTTTGGATCACCAGCTCTGGAGCTCCAGCTGGCTGGTGCACCCCTGCTTCCTCCAGCCATCTTGCTGCAAAGTGCAGGCTGGGTAAGCAGGCTGCTGTCCACTGGGACCAGGAATGGTGGCAGATTCATTTGCATATGTGACCTAAGACAGTAATTAAACCCCAGCGCCCCAGGGGTGAGGAGTAAGCACATTAATTCCGGAGCAATTACAGCCCTCCATGGCCCGGGCACACAGCCACCACCACTGAGACTGATGTGACAGTCACTTCCATCGGCACCCTTTGGCCACAGAACTGCCGCCATGGCTTGGATTTTGAGGGGCACATGCACAGGCTTTCCGGGGGCCAGCTTCTGGAGTCTCAAAGCCCTCTAAGGTCCCTGATACCATTATGGAGAAGTTACTGTGTAAGACAATGCCCTCACTTTTTTTTAAATTGTGGCAAATTACACCATTTTCATGTATACAATTCAGTGACATTAACTACATCCAAAATCCCAGCCCCGTGAAGGCCTCCCTGGTGCACAAGGGTAAGTTAAGCACAGCACTAGGAAGCTATCCACAGCCTCTGCGGCACAAGTTCGATCCCCAGCCAGGGAGGTGACCCACATAGCGCAGCAGACCTCTCCTGTCTCCCCGCTGCTCCCCTCCGCTGTGTATTTCTGTCGTCTGCCTTTTCTGCTCCCTGCTCTGTCTCTGGTGAATCCTCTCACACCCACCCCACACCCACTACCTCCCTGCACCTCTGACCTATACCCCTGTTCCTGTCTGCATAAATGAATAAATCTTAAAAAAAAAAAAGTGTTCGGTGACCATCACTATTATCTATTGCCAGAACTTTTTTTGTTACTCCAAGCAGGAACTACAGACACTAACTCTCCCTTATCCTCTCCTCCAACCTCTGGGAACTTTTATTCTATTTTCTGTCTCTGAATTTGCCTGATATTTGCCTGATATTGCATATAAGGGGACTCAAGCAACAGTCATCTTTTTCCATCTGACTTACGTCACTTAGCAGTGTTTTCAAAGTTGATGGATGTTGTCCTATGTGCCTGAACCTCATTCCGTTTAATGACTGAGTAATAGTCCACGTGGGGCATACCCCATGTTTTGTTCATCCATTTCTCTGCTGATAGATACTTGGGTTGTGTCCACCTTTTGGTGATTGTGAATAAAATGCTGTGAACTTTGGTGACCTTGATTTCCTGCTTTCCACTCTTTGAAGCACATACTTAGCTGTGGAATTGCTGGGTCATGGGGTAGTTCTGTTTAAGTTTTTAAGGACCTTCAAAAACCCCACAGCAGCTGCACCATTTTACAACATGCCTACATACAGTAGTTCGAGGGGTCTAATTCTCCCACACTCTTTAATTATTTCCTTTTTTTTTTTTTAAAGATTTATTTATTTATTTATTTATTTAGACAAGCACTGGGTACAGTCAGAAGCACGGGAGGGTGAGAGAATTCACCAGAGCCAGAGCGGGGAGCAGAGCAGGCAGAAGGACCGAAGTACACTGAGGGGAGCAGCGGGCGGCAGGAGGGGTCTGCGCGCCATGTGGGACCCTCCTCCGGTGGCCGGGGAGCAGCCGGGGATGGAACCGGCGCTGCAGAGGCTGCGGGCAGCTTCGCAACCCAGCGCTCAACCGCTGCGCCACCGGGGAGGCCCTCCCTTTTTTTTTTGTATTACAACCATCCCAGTAGAGGTGAGGCGGTATCTCACTGTGGTTTTGATTTGCATTTCCCTGCTGATTATTGATGTTGGCATATTTCACGGGTTTCTGGGTCATCTGTAGATCTTCTTTGGGGAAATGTCTTTTCAAGTCATTTGCCCAGTTTTTAACTGGGTGGGTTGTTTGTTGTCTGCTGAGTTACAGATTTCTCTGCATTTCCTGGATTTCCTTAGACAATTTGCAGATTTTCTCCTATTCTCTAGTTTGTTTTCTCACTTTGTTGATAGAGTCCTTCAAGGCACACAGGTTTTTTATTTTGACGAAGTCCAATTTTTTTTTCTTTTGTCGCGCTTTGGCTGTCATTTGAGTATTACTCAGTGGCACTGGGTGTCACTGGAGAAGCCATTACTTGATTCAAGGTCTTGGAGATTCACACCTACATTTCCTTCTAAAAGTTAAATAGTTTAGGTCTTTGACCCTCTGGGGTGTTGAGTGGATGCCCAGTCATCCTGTCTGTTGAAAAGGTGTCATTTGCATCAAAGTCGTTAGCAGTCAGGAGCAGATCACCTTAAATGCTGTTGGAAGGTGGCATTGTTTTAATTTTTTTTTTTTTAAAGATTTATTTATTTATTTATACAAGCACTGGGTACAGTCAGAAGCGCGGGAGGGTGAGAGAATTCACCAGAGCCAGAGCGGGGAGCAGAGCAGGCAGAAGGACCGAAGTCCACTGCTGAGGGGAGCAGCGGGCGGCAGGAGAGGTCTGCGCGCCATGTGGGACCCTCCTCCCGTGGCCGGGGAGCAGCCAGGGATTGAACCAGCGCTGCAGAGGCTGCGGGCAGCTT